TTTATAAATTTGAATTTTTTTTTATTTTTCTTGCAATTGATTTTTAAATGTTTATATAAAAGGACTGGTCTTAGACCCAGTCTTAGACTGGTCACAAGACCAGTTATTAAGGATCAGGTCATAAGTCTTAATAATAGAACCTGCAAGTCCTGGAACTAGGACCAAACTAGGACAGACTTTTTCAACTCTAGTATAATGATTCCTCGATTCCAGATAGAATTTCGCAAGACTTGCAGGACTTAAGTGAGGATGGTGCATTAAAAAAAAATGAGTTATGAGAAGCTTGAAAATATGCTATATAACACTCTTAAGTATAATGCAGAAATCAATAAGTATTGTGAAAAATTACAGACATGCTAGATGAACTCCCTTCTATTGATCCTTCCTTTGTATCTTCAATACTGCAAGAGTCTACCCTAATAACTTATACTAATAGTGTATCTTGATAGTTATTTTTTTCGAATGAATATAAGAAAAAATGGAAATATGTAAATTATTTTTCTAATCTATTTTTCAGATTTGCTATATTTTTTATGCTCCTTTCTTCCACCTTCTCATATAATGCATAAAATTCCTCTTTATTTATATCTGAGCTTTCTAAATTTATGGAGATTGGTTGAATCAATCCTAATAAATGTATCTGAATAATGTGTGATTCAGAAATACGAACGGGCTTGGACCTAGATTTTCTTTCAGCTTAGTCCCTCCAATCTTTTTTTCTTGCTATCAGTTTCGCTAAGGCTAGATGTCTTTGAAAGCATATCAGTTAATATATATTCCTCACTCTGTTGCAGACGTTCACTATCATCCCATATATCAAATACGTAATTTTTATTAATATGATTATACATGAAGTCGAAATGAAAACCCAAAAGTCAAAATGTTTTGACTTTGGAGATCAAAGTCGAAATGAAAAGTTGAAATAGTCGAAATTACATCATATTACATGATTTTTTATATATAGAAAAAACAAAAAAAAACAAAAGATGTATGATCTCAGTCAATATCGCTCCAATTCGTATGAAACAATTACCATTCAATTCCTGTGACTAGACGAATCCAATGAATTAACATTCATTAATTTTGGATTAGCCTATCTCGAGCTATTCACGATCGTATTTTGAAATCCGGACTTCTTATTTAAAATAGAATTTATTGATTCATAATTTCAGCCAATAATACAATTGCGATTATCTCGTGATTGGATAATTCAAAATCAATGAATGTTAGCTCATTAGATCCGTCAAGTCACAAGGAATCTAATAGTTTTTTTTAACGATGTAGTACTGTCATAAGTTTATTAAATTTTTATAAGCTATTACAATAAAAATAAAGATAAAAAT